CTGCCCATTCTCGCTTTCTTTCCATTCAGGACTTTCCCTTTAGGACATGGAGCAGGTGGCTCTGTTCTCCCAGGCTCACTCACTCACTCAGCACGTGTGCTGAGCTCCCCGTGCGCCTGGCCCCAGCGGGGCCCGGGGTGATGGTGGCAGTGAGCCCCAGCCGGACTCCGGACCTGCCTGGTCGGTGCTTGTTTTCTAGTGATGAGGAGAAACGAGCGAGCATCGGTGGGATCATCTCAGGAACACACGTCAATGGGAGGAGTCACAGCACAGGCCGCGGACCCACCGGGCATCAGACCTACGCAGGGAGGTCAGACCAGGCTCCGCAAGAAGTGCCAGTGGGAGGGGACCCGGAGTCGCTTCTCCCTCTAGGATGCTGGCAGGTGTTGGTCGGGCGTCATTTGATTCCGGGTCAGGGCGGCAGCTGACTGATGCTTAGTTCTCACATCGATGTCTCTCTCTACTTCTGTGGCACCTTCTAGATCAGACACTCACATCAATTTATTTAATCTCCAGGGCGACTTGAGGAGACAGTGCTCACACCTCCACGCTGCAGGTGAGGACATGACCCCGCGAGGCCTCCACAGGCACAGAGAGCTGGGCTGGGGTGTGGACACACGTCTGTCCCATGGAAGGCCCGCCTCCTCGCCGCCATGCCAGGTGTATCCATCCTTTCCATCCAGACGTGTCTCGGAGGAATTCTGGAGGGAAGAACATCGGGTGCCATTGGGCGGGGCAGACAGACGCAGGTAGGTGGTGTCTAGAGGGTCAGCTCTGACAACGCCTGCCCCCGCTGCCTCCGGGAGGTCACCTGGCAGATTCCAGAGGCGCCGGCAGCGCCGGAAGGGAGTCTGGCTTTTTGGAAAGTGGCTAATGGCTGGGAAGTGGCCAGCGGCACTGTTCCCAAGCCCCCAGCCGGTGGGCTGTTGTCCAGGGGTCCCGTGGGGGGAGGTGGCGGCAGCGGTGGAGCGCCTGGCCCAGACCCTCGCAGTGAGGGTTTCTGCAGTCAGTGGTTGTTCATGGCAGGAAGATGGTTCTTGCTTCCTTCCCAGTTTGGACACGCTGTGGCTGTGCTGCTCCAGATTCAGACCCGGCCCTGTGCCCGCTGGGCCGGAGCCTCCTGGTTGATCTGAGGTCGCCTCTCTCCAGAGAAGGCAATTCCGTGCACACGCTGTGCAGTGAGGAAGGACGCCTCCCCTTTCCAAGTCCTCTTCGGGCAGAAACACCTGCAGGCATGTTGCAGGGGCGGGGGGGGGCCCCGCTGCTTGTTCCGAGGGGAGGGGCTCGTCTGCACGGCATCTGCGCCTCAGCACCTGTGAGTGTGGTTATGGACGTGAGAGCACGTGGGTGTGTGAGTGTGAGAGAGTGTGCGCATGGGTATGAGAGTGCATATGTGTGTGTGTGAGCGTGTGTATGGCTATGAGTGTGTGTGAGAGTGCATATATGTGTGTGTGAATGTGAGAGGATGTGCATATGGGTATGAGAGTGTGGGAGTGTGTATGGGTGTGTGAGTGTGTGTGAGAGCGTGTGTATGGGTATGAGTGTGTGTGAGAGTGCATATATGTGTGTGTGAGTGTGAGAGAGTGCATATGGGTATGAGAGTGTGGGAGTGTGTATGGGTGTGAGAGTGTGTGAGAGTGTGCATATATGTGTGCGTGAGTGTGAGAGAGTGTGCATATGGGTATGAGAGTGTGGGAGTGTGTATGGGTGTGTGAGTGTGCTTGAGCGTGTACATGTGGATGTGAAAGAGTGAGTTGTGTATGTGACTGTGAGAGTGTACATGCGCACGTATGTGAGTATGTTTGTGAGTGTGTATGGGTGTAAGTGTGTGAGAGCATGCATAAGTGAGTGTGAGAATGTGTGTATAGGTGTAACCATGGGTACATGGCATTATGGTGTGAGAGAGAGTGAGAGAGAGAGCACGCGCGCGCGTGTGCAAAGCAAGAGAAGACCATCGAGGCGCCATCACAGAAAAGCAGCTGCAGGCCTGGGACTGAGTGTAGAAGTGAAGGAAGCCGCTGTCAGCCTGTGGGAAAGTTGAAGGATGATGGCGGGGGCGGGCCTCATCATTAGTAACAAAGAAACAATTTCTGGAGGATGAGGCCCAGAAATCAGGATTTTCACAAGATTCCCAGGTGATTCTAATGTGCAGCTGAGGTTGAGAACCACTGGCTTACACTAAGGCGGACGAGACCCCAGTAGGAAGCACGTGACCTCCAAGCCTGTCCCCGGGACATCACGAGGGAACAGGGCCTTGGTGGTGAGCCCCTCGCCACCCTGCTCACCCCGACCCTGCGCTGCAGGAGGCCCGGCGCCCCCAACCCCAGGTGCCCTAGGAGTCTCGGGCCCTCTCCCTCGTGGAGCAGCAGGTTTCCATACAAAGTCCGCGCTTAGAGCAACCAGGGAGCCCGTTGCCTGCTGGAGGCTCCCTTCTCGGAGCTCATTGCACATTCAGACGGCGCTTCCCGTGGCTCAGGGGCGTGGGAGAGTGGGGGGGGCACATCGTGAATGATTTAAATGTTCCCACATGTTCTTTCAACCGATTTCGGATCCCGGCCTCTGATTTTGCTGCCCCAGAAACTGCTTGTGTCTCAGGCTAACCATTGAGATTCAGAACGAGGGGCCTCTTTAACTGCAGGGCTTTTGGATGGTGTTGGGGAGTTTACCAAGCACGCTCATAGCCCCTCGATCTCTTTCGAGCGGCTTAGATGGTGGAGCACATGGTCTGCTCCTTGCGCAGCCTTGGGCCAGCCCCTGAAGTTGGGGGGCGGGAAGGGGGTCTGAGCATCTCACCTCACCGAGCTGCTGTGAAAACAGAGAAAGAAGGCCTTGCGGGGGGAGGTGTTGGGCATTTGCCTTTTTTGTTGTTATTTTCGTTACCGGAGGATATTTTCTCCCATTGCTTTTCAGGGAGTGTGTATGTGTGTGTACGTGTGTGTGTGAGGTGTGTGTCTACCTGTGTTTCCCTGGCTCTGTGTGTGCCTCCATCGAGCTGTGTGCATGCATGTTCATTGTCCCTGACAGGTGACATCCTATCTACATGGGGATTCCTGGGCAGGGGGGGTGGCTCCTCGCCCCTCACCGCCTCCCTCAGTGCCTCCGTCTCTCCTGTTTATAGGCCTTCTATCCCTCTTCTGGAAACTTCCACCTCAGCTCTGCACTTAGTTCCCGGACCGCAGTGACTGGCTCCCCGCCTCTCCCCACGCCTCCCGAGGCCTTGCTCTCTGCCTCGTTCCCACCCAGGGCCGTTTCCTGCCAAGGTCGTATGCGTTGTCTGAGTGGCAGGAGCTTCTACGGAGCCTGCACGTCGCTGGCAGCCAGATCCTCTTCATTTCATAATTGCCCGTTCTAAATGGATTCATCTAGGACGAGCCCTAACCGCTGGAAACAGAACTCTTTATTTGTCCTCTCTCATAAAGAAGCCGCTCGATTAATTATGCCAACTTGCATTTTATTAAGTGTGGCATTCATTTTGATTTAAGAATATTTTTACCTCTTCAAGTGCTTTTAAGAAAGGTTATGGCCAAAAAAAAAAAAAAAAAAAGGTCTATTCATCTCTGCAGTATATTTGGTTGCTTTTCATAAATTGTCTAGATTGCATTTTAAGGGAGTGGAAATTGAATCTAGTCTTTTTTCTTTAAATTGCTGAAGCCAATTAGCAGCTAATGTGTTCAGGAGGAGAGAAGCACTCAGATCTATAATTGAGCAGAGCCTTCCGAACGCTGCATTTCAGCTCAGTCCTGCCCGCTCTTTCCGTCTTCCCCCCATCGCATTTCCCAAAGAACAGCTTCCCTTACCAGCCCCCCGTTGAGACCTGGGCCACTGGGAGGAGAGTGGGGGCGTCAGAGCTGCTGCGCCCCAGGATGCCAGGGAGGGATCAGTCCCTGGGGATTGGCTCCCATTCCTCCAGGGGCTCTCTGTGGCCCCAGGAAGACTGCCTGGGGAGACGGGGGAGAGAGATGCTTACTGGCATCTCGAACCTTCTTTATCCTTTCAGTTCTTCTAGTTGTCAAGGATGTGAAGCAAAGCTTACGAAGTTCAAATCGCAGGAGAACTAAAAACACACCCTTTATTGACACACAAAGCTGGTTTCTTACTGGGAAGTTCCTGGGGAGTTGTGATCTGACCACACAACCAGAGACACCCCTAGATTTCCAACTGTCTGACACCCCTCACCCCTTTCTCAGCACTGCTTCTAACTTAAAGTAGGTGTTAGCAAACCACAGCCCACAGACCAAATCTGCCTTTTGTAAATTACATTTTTTTGGGGGGAACATAGCCACACCCATTAATTTAGCGGCTTTGGGCTACAAGGCAGAGTTGAGTAGTTTTGACAGAGACCGTAGGGTCTGCAAAGCCAACATATTTACATCCGGTCTTTTCAGAAGACATTTGTTGACTTCTAGTTTAAAGCATTGAAAGAAAAAGTGTGTAATTTAGATTTAACTTCCCCCTCTTTTTCGGGGGGCGGGGGAAATAGTTAAAACTCTCTTTTAGGAAACTTGGGGGAATCCAATGCCCTTGCAACCTGGTGCGCTGTGTACGGTACTGAACTTTTCCAAAGCCCCTTGGAAAAAAAGGCCTGGCGCTGTCCACGGTGCTGAACTCGTTTGGTCTTCACTCGTTAAAAGCATGGTTAACGGGAGAGAAGAGAGGATTTCTAGGCAGGTGGAGACCAACCTGCATGCGCTTCGTGTGGGAGGACACACTACTTATGCTCAGCGTCTCTCCAGGCTTCTCGGAGTGAACAGGCGGAGGTGGCTCTTGTCGAGGGAGGGTTCTGTGTGTCTCTGCTTTTTAATGAAGAGGAATGGCTTGGAGAGCGCGTTCCTAGCCAGCGGATATTGCATTGCTGATGAAAGGAGACTCCGATCCCGGCGAGTCCATGCATGCCATCTACTTTAGGTGCCTGAAGGTCAATTAAAAGTATGTTTATGTTTTCACTGCCGCTCTGTGACAGGGAGGTATAACATTTAGACAGCGTGGCTGTATTTATGTCCGAAATGTGGACATAAACTTCCTGTTTTACACGGGAACTAAAATCAATAATGACACAGAGCAGCATTTCATCAAATGAATTCTGAAAGGTTCCTGAAGTCGATCCAAATTGCAGGAAGAGAGATGAATGTAGTAAAAAAAAAAAATATTCAGGCCAGCTAATTTTGCCAAGTTTGGGAGAGGGTGTACATCATAAAAAATAAGGGTAGTTCTGGGGTTTCTTTGAATAATTCTGGTCTCTTAAAATTGATCGCTCTTTCTCCGAGGTGACATATGGAATGGGGCTTCACCACGCTCTGCTTATTTTGATATCAAACCTGCCAGAATGTAGAGAGAGGCAACCTGAAATATACCTATGTTGATTTTTTTTGGTTAAAAGATATATAAAAACTTGGTTGTCTAGCCTCAGAATTTAAAAAATCGACACATAGCAACATTTGACACCTCATTTCCTAATACGCTTAACTTATTGCTGTATTCCTAGGGGAGAGCTGGGACTGGGTGTTACTCAATGTCTTCATGACCTAGAATTGCTCAGGGGCTGCCTCGCCAAGGTCAGGCGGGAGGCCCTGCTGACGCTGTTGGATGGTCTCATTTGAAGGAATAAAATGCTACGGTGCAGGTCATGTGTGGAGGGTCAGGAAGGGAGCCCAGTGAGGGTGACGTCTTCAGGGTCCGCTGCTGGAAACAGGATGAGGTTTCTGAGCAAATCTTAGCATTTGCTGCATGACCTGCCCCCGGGCTGTTCCAAACACAGTGATAATCTTGTAAGAACTGGGTCAAATAGGAACAATGTGGAACTATTCCAAACAACTCTTTTATTGTTGAGATATGTAAAAAAATAGCCTCTCTCTCTCTCTCTCTCTCCTCTCTCTCTCTCTCTCTCTTCTCTCTCTCTCTCTCTCTCTTACCAAAGGAAACTCCAGGGTCTAGTCTTGCATTTTTTTTTTACCACTGCTTAAAACTGCTCTCTAGAACCATTTGAAGCTTCAATTCTAAAGTACAGATAGCAGGTTGATGTGTCTACATTTGGTGAATCTCCTACAAGGACCAGGGTGCTGTGGGAAGCTCCAGTCTGCATGCAAAAACCTTGGGGGAAAGATTCTGTGTGAACCAAAGAAATGGAAAGATGATGAATGAGTGGAAGGATGGGTGGGTGAATGGATGGATGGATGATGAATGGATGATGGATTGAAGGTGAATGGATGGATGATGATGGATTGAAAGGGAAGGATGAATGGATGGGTGGATGGATGGATGGATGGAAGGATGCATGGGTGGATGGGTGGAAAGAAGGAATGGCTTCTTTGGTGGACTATAGTAACGGTATTACACCCCAAGGTTCTTATGAAAACCTGCAAGTCCTCGACTCTTGCCCCTCTCATTGTTTCTCTTTTGCTCTGAGAAAGTGTTTGCTGGAGGCTCAGCTGTTAGCATCTGATAAGCACTGACCTCTGTCGGAGGAGGGCAACCGCCTCTGCTCAGTGGAGGCTCCAGCAGAGAAGGGGGGCTTCTGAGTAGGCTCACTCAGCTTCCCTTAAACTGGTCACGTCTAACCTGATGAACTTGGCATTTTCAGAAGCATCATGTGGTGCCAGCTGATGTCTACGTGCATGTCACTGACAAGAGTTGTTCATTGTGGGGGGTCAGAGACTTGGGTGGCATTTGGTTGTGACAGGCCAGAGAGAACATGAAATGTTAAGATGTTTTAGGTTATGGCTCTAATTATTCCTGGGCTCCTTGACCAAGGGGGTGGTGTGTGTGTGTGTGTGTGTGCGCGCGCGCACACGCGTGCACATGCATGTGTGAGTTTACAGTGGTGGGGGTGGCGGAAGACTGAATGCTTAGAGGTCAGGGGCTCAGTCGCTACAATGGATGTTTTCTTTTGGTGGGGATTGGTTCTGGTCCACTGGGGTCTGGGGCTGTATGCCTGGATCCTGGGGAACAGATGAGCCCTAGCCCTTCAAGACAGAGGTAGTGAGCCCTACATTGAGGAAGATGTGAGATTCCGGATCATGGAGCTGAGAACTGAGTGGAGAATATCCTAATAACAGTGATACAGGATTTCAAAATCTGTTTTTGAGAAGCTGTGTTTTGAGAAGAAGGGATTGGAAGAAACACAGCTTAACTTTCTTGGGGGTTAGAAATGATAAAAACAATGCATTTGTGAGGTTTTCATTTCTGTGGCCTTCCCTCAAGCCCCGTGAGGTCCATGGGAAAGACACCACTGTCCCCAATGGGTATGAATAAGGAGATGACTACGATGATGATGATGATGATGATGGTGATGATGGGGGGATGATGGTGAGGAGGAGGATGATGATGGTGGTGATGATGAGAGTGATGACGGTGATGATAACGAGGGTGATGATGGTGGTGATGCTGATGATGGTGGTGGTGATGATGATGGTGGTGATGATGGTGGTGATGATGAGGATGTAATGAAAGCGATGGTAATGGTGATGATGATGATGGTGGGGGTAATGATGGTGATGATGATGAGGATGATGTGATAAAAATGATCGTGATGGTGATGATGATGGTGATGATGATGATAGGTTGTAGCTACTCTTTAGTGTGGATTGTGTTCCAAGGATTGTGTTCAATAATCACCATACCTCATTTCATTTGTGTCTCAGGACAATTCTATGCTTTTATAGAAGGGAAAGCAGAAACTCACAGAGAGTGTATTTATTTATTTCTAACTTTATAAATATTAAGGCATCCCCACAACAACCCTGTGAAATCGGTATTATTATCATCATCACTTTCAACTTATAGCTGAGGAATCTAGGGCAGGAGAAGGTAGGTAACTTACCCAAGGTTACACAGCTGGTAAGTGGCTGAGGCAGGATTGGAATCTTTGCCCCATGTGCCGTCTGCATGGGTAGACCGGCTCCTGTCCCTGCTCGGCCACCTCGTGCTGGCTGGCTCTGCTCAGCTCACTTGGCGCCCCACGCCCCACGCCCCACGGCGTATTCCTTCCCATGGTTCTAATAACCCGCTCCTCCTGCCTCGCTTTAATTAGGTTCCGTAAAACATCTCCTGCTGTGAGTTCTGGTTCCATAATTACTTCATGTTTCAGCTTCAAAGAAACCTGGATCTGCCCCCTCACTAATTTAAGAGGACGCTTCGCTCTGTGAGCTAAACGCCCTCCAAATCCCTGAGCCGGCTCCGGAGGAGCTCCGAGGGTTGTGTTTTCATGACCGGAAAGGGCAGCTTTCCTGTTCCTCTCGCCAGCCAGTGTCTCTGGATGCAGCACTGGGCCTGGCGTCCCATGCGGGCGACAAAAATCCCCAGGTCAGCAGCATAGCCTGCGAGCCCGTGGCCGGCACCTCCCACTGTGCACCTGGGAGCCGGGATGAGACCCCCGCTGCTCTCCACAGAGCATCCCAGGCGCAGCGGGACCTCGGTTCTCGAGCCTCATCCTTCCGGAGGCGATGTGCTAGAAACTGACTCATGTCCTCCCATTAGAAAGAGCCCTTTCTGAATGCTGCGGATCCTTCCGGAAAACCCTTGAACCTAAGGACAGTCGGAGACCCCCGCGAGCAACGTGCCTCTGGGGGCGGGCAGAACCTCGAGAGATTCCCGTAACGTCTAATCCTCATGTCATTCCAAGTCGATACCAAAGGTGCAAGCACAGCAAGGAATTCTCGTATTCTCCCTCCCAAGCCAACCATTGTGCCCATTTTGGCTTTATCATCTATCTATCTATCTCTCTATCTCTCTATCTATCTATCTATCTATCTATCTATCTATCTATCTATCTATCTATCTATCTATCTATCTACATCATCATCATCATCATCTATCATCTATCTATCTATCTATCATCTATCAATCAATCAATCTATCTATCTATTATCTATCATCTATCTATCTATCTATCTCTACCTACCTACCTTGATATAT